GCTAGCTATAGTAGTTTCCATGTTCTTCCATTATCCCTAGAGAACCCTAATATGACCCTAACATGACCCTAATATATACCCCAATATACTATAACCCTAATATAACCCTAACATAATAACCCCAATATATACCCCAATATACTATAACCCTAACATGACCCCAATATATACCCCAATATACTATAACCCTAATATAACCCCAACATAACCCTAATGTATACCCCAATATACCAGAATAGTTGCCATGTTCTTTGGAAACGCTCTTCAACTCGGGGCTGCCCAAAATGGAGGGGCCCCTTTTCTAAGGAGGCCCTCCGTCTTTTGGGGGTGTATTTTAGGTGGACCCCCCACCCAGTAATAGTGACTATAGGGGATCATAGGGATTATACTAGGCTCCTCTTATATTCCTATTCTATCACTATTACAGGGTGGGGGGTCCTCCTAAGGTGTATTTGGCAAGTCCCAACTGCAACAATCACAAGCTGCAACATCACCCTAAACCCTAAACCCTAAACCGCTGGGCTTCAAGCCTCCAAGTGCGCCTCCACTTCTTCGGAAGTCGCTGTCGTCAAGGCTGCCAAAGAGCTGTCTAGCTCACGAGGGCTCACGGGCAAGCTATCAATCTTGTCTCCAACTTCAATCTTGTCTCCAACTTTCTCCCGGTCGCAGGCATTGGGCGACAGCGCCTGCAATACAGAGACGTGCCTTCCCAGCAAAATACTATCACCACACATGCAACACTTGTGTTCTAACATCCTTATCTGTCTTCTACTTCTGCTTCAGTCTCAATGCCTTAGCAGCTCCCAACAGCGTTGGCCGCTCCCCTTCGCTGATGCTCACGTTGCCGGCATCGCTGCTCGCGGCAGACTGGCTCCGGGAGATCAGCCCTGGACAGCTCAGCTGCGGAACGGCTGACGCTTTCCCATCAGAGGGGAGTGCAGGCTCTTGCTGCTCCTTGGCAAGTGGCATTCCGGAATACTTGTCTCCAGCACTGCTGTCCTGGGGACTCATTAGCAGCCAAGACTCTGCAGCCGGAGCTGCTGCAATTTGCTTCTTGAATCCTCGAAGGCAGCCTCGATCGCCTTTGAAGAGCTCTGGCAGAGCTCGGTACTGCGATGCACCTGAACCACATGCTCAAAACCTGAGCAAACAGCAAGTATGGTACGAGTTGCAGTCAAAGCACAACCGTCCAAACAGGTCGGCGCCATGCTCTTCAGCTATGGCAGCAGCGACTAACGTCTTGTTTTGAGCCGCTATGCTGCATGGGCTCAACTTCAAGAGCATCTAGGAAAATTCTCAGGCAGGGTTCCACCATGCGATTTTAATGTACTTGCCCGGAACCTGTTCTAGAGTAGTTAGTACCCAAGTCGCAAGTACGCAATTGGTGCCCAATTCCAATCGTCAGGGTCTTCCTGCCCAAAAGGATGCTGCTGAACCTTGCTTTTGTCGATTGCGGGGCTTTCTCAAACTTGTGGGTCCTGTATATACCCGATTCGATTTTGATCCCTAAACCCTAAACC